CTTTTAAAGTATTCTTCAATGTGTATATAAAACATTTGAAATAAGCAGCTAAATGAATTTTGTTTAAAATTTTAAAATCTGAACTTTAAAGAAAAGAAATTTAAATGTGGCTTATGACTATCCCGTCACCACCTTACATGTATGAATTGAGAGACTGAAAGGAAATTCTTCCTAAGATGATCTTCCACATCTGTATCAGGGTCTACAATTCCACCATGCTTTGGGATAAGGCTTTAAGGCATTTGAATTATTACCTGGGATTTAATTCAAGTCTGTTCACACACTAGGATAATGGGATACAGGATGCTGTTGAATTCTGTTGGGTAGTTCATTATCTGGGCAACTTCTTTATTTAGCTATCTCTTGAGATAGACAAAAAAGGAATAAAATTTAAAGGAAAACTCTCTTAAAGATGCAGATTGAGGTACCTTACCAGAGGCAGAATGAAGACACTGGGATGACACGGGTAAATAATTCTATGTATGTGGTTATATCCTAGCTCAATGTAGCTACCCCCTGACTGTTTTTAGTAGTTGTAGCACACTGGGATTCTTTTACCTTTTTCATACCCTTGTATCTGTGTAACTGTTTGTCCCTTTCAGTTATGTTGTTGCTTTCTGGGTTGCTTTATTGTTTTTTAGCTATCCAACAGGAAGTAGGGAAACAAATGACAAAAATAAAGTATACAGGTAGTAGAGGCCCTAACATTTAGAATGTGAAGCTCTGCTTACTAACCCCAAACATATATAAGCAGAGGCCTAGCAAGTAACAATTCTTAGACTGACACAAAAGTCTTATGATCTGCCCCTAATCAACAGCTCTCTAAATTTTACCTTTGGCCTCTCTTATACTTATGCTTTTCAAAGAACTGTCCAGTTCGGTGAGGGCAAATTTGCATAGGGAATGGTGCGGGAGATGCATTCACATTTCTTTACATTTCCAACTCTGCTCTGGAGAATCTGTTAATGGTAGCTGCTGCTGTTTCAAATGGGATGCCTTCTTCCTAGCTTCTCTAAATACTACATTTTTTTTAAGGATCTAACTTAAATCACATCATCTCCTTGAAGCCTTCTGTGATTCCCCTTGTTCTCTTTTTATTTCTAAACCTGAGTATCTGATTTTGAATCCAAGCTTTGCCATAATAACTATGACTTTGGACAAGTTACTTAAAGTCTCTGTGCCTCAGTTTTCACACCTGTAAGTACTTCTCTATAAGAAAAATAAGAGTGCCTATTTCATCCAGTTGGCTGCTGTATGAATTAAATGGGTCAATATCTATAGAACACTGTGAAGAATGCCTGACAGATTAAAAAAATGCCTGCTCAGTAATTATTATATATTCTTACTACTTCTAATATGGCTTACACCATATACTTTTACAATTTTTTTGTTGAGTTTCTATGGCTCCATTTTATCTCCTTAAGTGACTTTGGAGTAATGTAACATAGTGGAAAAGCTATGGACTCTGGATTCAGACTACCTGAGTCTGAGTCCTAACTCTACTACTTATAGCTTTCTGATCTTGGACAAGTTACTTAATCTTTTTGAGTTTTGGTTTCACCAGGTGTAATGGGGACAATTATATCAAATTACTTCAGGGACCATTTATGAGGATTAAATTAGGTAATCCTTACAGAATGCCAGGCACACAGTAGCTGCCCCATAAATGGAGATGCTATTATTACACATTTCAATCTTCACAGAGGCTAGGCCTAGATCAGGTACTCATTGAATGTTTGTTAAATGGATTCAGCAGTAAAATATCATTTTCTTTCATGTATTTATCTTTTGTGTTATTCAGAAATGGAATGATCTGGAAAAGGGATAACTGCATCTTTGAACTCTTGAATTTAACTCTAGACTCAGTATTTTTTCTACCCATCAAGCTGTCCTTTTTGTTGTATTAGGCTTAGTAATGTCAATGATAATTATGAATAAGAGAAGCTACCATTTGTTGATTTCTTACTAGTTTCTGTGTATGTGCCACATGCTTTACATATCCCTAGTTTTGTTCCTTTTCATGCTATATTCTCTTCCTAAGAAATCTCATCTGTTATCTTGGCTTCAGATACAATCTATGTGCTGTTGATCCTCAAATTCCTGTCTTTACTCGAGACCTCATTTGAGCTCTAAACCCATATATTTAACTACAAATTTGACATTTGCATTTGGATATCACAGAGGCAACTAAAACCAAACATTTTCAGAACTGTATCTCCTACAGTTTTTCCCTCTTGAATCCCATGTCTGCTTTTCCTTTTGTACATCCCATCACTGGGAATGTCACCACCAACTATTTAGTTATACCCCACACTTAGAACTTTAGCAAGTTCTCATAGGTTTTCCTCTGAAATATGTATGAAATCTATTTCTTTTCTTCTTCAATACCACCACCATAGTGAAAGCTACCATCATAGCCTTTGGGGATTAGAATAGCCTACTAATTGGTCTCATCTCTTATATAATTTTCTCCTTCCAATCTATTGCTTATACTGTGGCAATTTTTTTTTAACTTTTTCAATTGCAGTATGACATGTATATAGCAATATCTACAAAGTGTACTAATCTCAAGTGAATTTTTCCACATGTATATTCTTCTGTTACTATTTCCAAGATCAAGGGTTAGAATATTTCTAGCATGTCAAAATCTTATTTGAGCCCCCTCTGAGAGGCAACTGCTATTTTTCTGTCAGATTTTTAAAATTGATCATTTGAGAGAAAGAAAAAAAAAAACATAGGTGTTGAACTGAAATTAATGATATGCATGTTGAAGTATTTAGGTCAAAGTGCATTAAGGAATTCAACCTACTTAATTTACTTTGAAATGCAAAAGAAAATAAGATAGAATAGATGAATACAAGGATATATTCACAGTGAAAAAACAAGTCTGATAAATATAAATTATAGAATTTTGGTGGTGCCTATGTGAGGTGTTCATTGTAAAATTCTGTCAAATAATCTTTAAGTTTGAAAATTTTCATTATAAAATGTTTCAAAAAGGGAATATTTTGAAAACACAAAATAATCTTGTATTACCTAAAGCTCTTCAATGGCTTCCAAATGTGCTTGATATATAAAATATATAGTCTTTAATATATCCTAAAAGGCCTAGTGTTGCCTCTACCAGTCTCTTTAATCTCTTTTCCCTCATTATTCTTCTTCTTCACTGTGTTTAAGCCCCACTTGTCTTTCTTCATTTCCATAATATGCAGTGCTGAATGAGGGAATAAAAACAGGATTATGCTTATAGGCAAGCTGTTCACAACAAGGGGTGATCTGGGAAGAGGACACTTTTTCAGAAATACAGGTCTCAGGCAGATAATGTTTGGATTAAAAACAGAAAAAAGCCCTAGTCTCTAGTTACTAAAACACACCCAATCACCTATTACTGCAACTGTGCTATATGCATGAGGTCTATCTGTAGCTCAGAGGGGACACTGTTGTCTTCATCTTAAAAGTTCCATGAAGTCAGGAACAGTGTTTAGCTTTTCATTTGATGTGTCCATAGCACCTAGCATAATCTCAGCTAGCCGTAAAGTAGACACTCCATAAACATTTGTTGAATAAATGAACTCATTAAATCCTTATAACATCTCTATAGCCTAGTTATCAGGTGACTTCCATTTTCAGAGGAAACTGAAGCCCATAAAAGTAAAATATCTAGCTTAAGCCTATACAGCTTTTAGTAGAAGAGCCAGGATTCATTCCCAGGTTTGACTCCAAATCCCAGGCTCTTATGTGCTCTTCTGCCTTCCCTAATACAAATATTTCCCCCTTTGTGGAAGTCACCCCTGAGAGTTAAAAGGGCAGGGCATAGGAAAGGATAGGGTGATTCTTTGGATATAACAGAAGTGCTGGGTGTTTCTCTACCAGGGTTATTTCCTCTCCCCCATAAACTCCTTTCTGGACGCTGCAACTTGGAGCACACAAATGGAAATGAACAATATCCCTGCTGAGCCAACACTCCTCGCCAAATTGGTGATTCATTTTGGCTAATCAATTCAGTTATATACATTAGTTTTTTTCATTAGGTCAAATGTAATAACTGCCATTTTTAGCTGGGCTTGGGATTGGGGTGGAATAAAGCACTACAGTGAAAAAATTGCTAGCATCAACAAAAACAAAATTCTCCAACAAAACCAGCTTGAGACACACTTATAAAGTGAGGGGATTCATAGGCAGCCTTCTTTTCACTGGATTTTGAACCAGAGTACTCTCTTACCTCATACCTAGGTGAAGTATGCAGCTATCTGTGTATTGCAAAGTATGCAGCTATATTTGTACTGTGAAGTGAGGGAGGCTAAAAATCCTTGATTAATATCAAATCTACCTGTTTAGATATGCCACAATAGTTGAAATCTTCATTGAAATCATTGCTTCAGGTAACGGACCTAGCCTCCTATTAAAATGTGTATCTCCCACTAGGAACCACTTCATTAAGTCACTATCAGCCATAACCATCTTAACTTGTTAGTTCTTGCTCTGTTTCCTTTGTTGTTCTTCCTGCTCAGCTCTTCCCAGATAAACCCACAGATACCTCAAAGTACAGATTTAGTCATGCCTCTTGAGCCATTCCTGAATGAGATCAGAAAGAATACATATAATTGTTAACATTTAATGAGTGCTTACTATGTGCTAGGTACTGTATCAGAAAGAATACACCTAATTGCTAACATTTAATGAGTGCTTACTATATGCTGTATCCCAGGGCCATCTAGGATAAGGTTTTGTCAGGAACATTGAGTCAATTAACTAGGGTTCTGATATACAGTATTTGATATTAACTTAATCTTTTTAACCACCCAATGGGATATTTTTATCAGGCCTATTTTGTAGAAGAGAAAATAGAGGTGAAGAGAGGTCAAAACAATTTGCCCAAGATTACACAGTATGGTTGAGTTAGGATTGGAACCCAGGTGATTTGACTCCAGGACCCGTAATCTTAATTGTCATATAGTACTGTGTTTGTAAGCCTCAGTCTGACTTTGAAATTGTCACAGTGTATCTCCAGGACCTGGTATACTTGTTATGCGTTCTGGATCCCTACATGGTATTTAAGTCAGAGCAAGAGAACAAGGGCTGTGGAAAACAAGTGGACTTCAGATTTGGCCTAATGGCAGGTAAGTATAACCAAGAAGTTGTGTTACAGTTTTCTATGTAATTATTATAATAATTAACACTTATTGAGGACTTTTTCTATGCCAAGCACTGTACTCTGTCTGTTATTTGTATTGACTCATCTGGAGGCAGTAGTTCTGGAGATCCAGTGTAGATCCTCATTTTGCCCTATTTAGATCTCAGGGCCATGTAGGATAGGGTTTTATGGGGAACATTGACTCATTTAACTAGGGTTCTGATACACAAAACATTCTTGCCAGTACATTTTTGGGGGTTAGATACTGTTCTCTGTTTTTTTCTGGCTGTTTTGGGGACCTGTTGTGTATTAAACAACCAATTAGAATCTGAATACTGACATTCTGTCTTGGATTCCTCACTTACTTTATTTGCTGACCTGATTGAATACTAGACCAATACTGAATACTTTCAGATTTAGGATGGAAACCATCACATTCTTTAGGAGACTGAACTGCCCTCTCCTTAGCTAGCCTTTGAATCAGTTTCCCATTCTGTATATAGACTACTTCCATCATCTTCCCAATTCAAAAACCAACTACTACAGTTTGAAGTTACATTGGTTGAGTATACTCTTTTCCATTTTAAATTTGTCTCCAAAGTATCAGTAACCACACCCTTTCCCTTTTCATTCTTGATAGGGTACTCTAACACACTTACCTAAAGGTTACAAAAGGTGGCTGGCACATAGCACCATTATGTTGGAATTGTCTCAGCTAAAATATATGGTCTTATTTTATAAAAAAGAAGGTAGTGCTCCCAAACTGTTCTTACTAAAACATGTGTTCTACATTTTTACATTATTTCACATGTAGCTGGTATTTCTTGCATAGAGCTAGCCACAACACTTAGTTATATTTGCTCAATGTGAGCTGAGGGAAGGGGGGAGTTTAAGAGGCAGAGAACAGGTATCTACATCATATGTGGCTTAAACTTATAACTGTGGTCTCCTAAGTTTTCTGACTTAATTTAATGAGTTGGTCATCAGGTTTATATACTTGCTCATATATGCAAATATACTCCTTTTAATGAGTTCCTCCATCTCCAACTTACAAATGTATCACAGGTGCCAAAACTCTGAGGCCAAACACTATGGAGTGCAATCTTAAATCATAAGGTGTCATAACATTTTAAAAAAGTATTAGTGCATAGTAGGTATGTATATTTATAAGGCACATGAGATATTTTGATACAATCATACAATGCATAGTAATCACATCACAGTAAATGGAGTATCCATCACCTCAAGTATTTATCCTTCCTTTGTATTATAAACATTCCAATAAATAGTAAATTATACTCTTACGGTTATTATAAATAGTAAATTATTGTTGACCACAGTCACCCTGTAGTGCTATCAAATACTGCAGCTTAATCATTCTAACTGTATTTCTGTACCCATTGACTGTATCCACTTCCCCCACCGTTACCCTTCCCAGCCTCTGGTAACAATTGTTCTGTTCTCTATCTCCATGAGTTCAATTTTTAGGTTCCACAGATGAGTGAAAACATGTCAATTTTGTCTTTCTGTACCTGGCTTATTTTAGTTAATATAATGATCTCCAGTTCCATCCATGTTGTTGCAAATGACTGGATATTATTACGTTTTTTATATCTGAATAGTACTCCACTGTGTATAATGTACCACATTTTCTTTATCTGGTCATCTGCTGATAGACATTTAAGTTGCTTCTAAATCTTGGCAATAGTAAATAATGCTGCAATAAACATGGGAGTGCAGATATTGCTTTGATATAGTGATTTCTTTGCTTTCAGATATATGCCAAAGAGTGGAATTGCTGGATCTTATGGTCGCTCTATTTCTAGATTTCCTCCAAATTATACTCTTTAGTGGTGTACTAATTTACATTCCTATCAAAAGTACACAAGGGTTCCCTTTTCTCCACATACTCACCAGCATTTGTGATTGCCTATTGGATTAAAGCAGTTCTAACTGGGGTGAGATGATATTTCATTGTAGTTTTGATTTTGATTTCTCTGATGATCAGTGGTGTTGAATACCCTTTTATATACCTGCTTACAGTGGGTATGTTTTCTTTTGAGAAATGTCTATTCATATATTTTGCCTATTTTCTTGACTTTTATTTAAGTTCAGGGGTACATGTGCACATTTGTTATATAAGTAAACTCTAGTCATGGGAGCTTGTTATACAGATTATTTCATCACCTAGGTATTAAGCCTAGTACTAATTAGTTATTTTTTCTGATCCTCTACCTTCACCCAGCCTCCAGTAGGCCTCAGTGTCTGTTGCTTCCCTTTATGTGTCCATGTGTTCTCATCATTTGGCTCCCACTTATAAGTGAGAACACTTGGCATTTACTTTTCTGTTCCTGCATTAGTTTGCCAAGGATAATGATCTTCAGATCCATCCATGTTCCTGATAAAAACATGATCTCATTCTTTTTATAGCTGAATAGTATTCCATGGTGTATATGTAGCACATTTATTTATCCAGTCAACCATTGATGGCCATTTAGATTGATTCCATGTCTTTGCTATTGTGAATAGTGCTGCAATGAACATAAGCATGCATGTGTCTTTATGATAGAATGATTTATGTTCCTTTGAGTATATACTCAGTAATGGGACTACTGAGTCAAATGATAGTTCTGTTTTTAGCTTTTGAAGGAATCACCATACTGTTTTCCACAGTGGTTGAGCTCATTTGCACTCTCACTAACAGCATATAAGCATGCCTTTTTTCTCCACAGGAATGCCAGCATCTGTTTTTTTAAAATTTTTTAATAATAACCATTCTGACTGGTGTGAGATGGTGTCTCATTTTGGTTTTGATTTGCATTTCTCTAATGAACAGTGATATTGATTTTTTTTCATTTGCTTGTTGACTGTATGCATGTGTTCTTCTGAAAGTCTCTGCTTGTGTCCTTTGCCCACTTTTTAATGAGGCTGTTGGTTTTTTTCTTGTAAATTTGTTTATGTTTCTTGTAGATGCTGGATATTAGACTTTGACAGATGTATAGTATGCAAAAATTTCCCCCTGTTTTTTAGGTTGTTTGTTTACTCCATTAATAGTTTCTTTTGCTGTAAGAGGCTCTTTAGTTTAATTAGATGTCATTTGTCATTTTTTTTGCCTTTCTTGGAATTGCTTTTGATGTCTTTGTCATGAAATCTTTGGCCATTACTATGTTTAGGATGGTATTGCCTAAGCAGTCTTCCAGGGTTTTTAATAGTTTTTGGTTTTACAATTAAGTCTTTAATCCATCTTGGGTTCATTTTGTATATGGTTTAAGGAAGGGATCCAGTTTCAATCTTTTGATATGGCTAGCCAGTAATTAGAGGACCATTTATTGAATAGGTTGTCCTTTCCTCATTATTTGTTTTTGTCAACTTTTTGAAGATCAGATAGTTGTAACTGTATGGCTTTATTTCTGTGCTCTCTTTTCTGTTCCACTGGACTGTGTCTGTTTTTCTACCAGTACCATGTTGTTTTGGTTACAGTAACCCTGTAGTATAGTTTGAAGTCAGGTAGTATGATGCCTCCAGCTTTATTCTTTTTGCTTAGGATTATCTTAGCTATTTGGGCTCCTTTTGGTTCTATATGAATTTTTATGTATTTATTTTTAATTTATTGATTATACTTTAAGTTCTGGGGTATACAAGCAGAATGTGCAGGTTTTTACATAGGTATACACGTGCCATCATGGTTTGCTGCATCCATTACCTCATCATCTATATTAGATATTTCTCCTAATGCTATCCCTCTCCAATCCCCTCACCCCCTGCTATCCCTCCCTTATTCCCCTACCCCCTGACAGGCCCCGGGGTGTGATGTTCCCCTCCCTGTGTCTACGCGCTCTCATTGTTCAATACCCACTTATGAGTGAGAACATGTGGTGTTTGGTTTTTGTTCTTGTGCCACTTTGCTGAGCATGATGGTTTCCAGCTTTATCCATGTCCCTGCAAAAGATATAAACTTATCCTTTTTTATGGCTGCATAGTATTCCATGGTGTATATGCCACATTTTCTTTAGCCAGTCTATCATTGATGGGCATTTGGGTTTGTTCCAAGTCTTTGCTATTATAAACATTGCCTCAATAAACATACGTGTACACGTCTTTATAATAGAATGATTTATAATCCTTTGGGTATGTACACAGTAATGGGATTGCTGGGTCGAGTGGTACTTCTATTCCTAGATCATTGAGGAATCACCACACTGTCTTCCACAATGATTGAACTAATTTACACTCCCACAAACAGTGTAAAAGCATACCTATTTCTCTACATCCTCTCCAGCATCTGTCGTCTCCTGAATTTTTAATGATCACTATTCTAACTGGCATGAGATGGTATCTCAATGTGGTTTTAATTTGCATTTCTCTAATGACCAGTGATGATGAGCATTTTTTCCTATGTTTGTTGGCCACATAAATGTCTTCTTTTGAGAAGTGTCTGTTCATATTCTTTGCCCACTTTTGGATGGGTTTGTTTGTTTTTCTTTCTTGTAAATTTGTTTAAGTTCTTCATAGATTCTGAATATTAGCCCTTTGTCAGATGGGTAGATTGCATAAGTTTTTTTCCCATTCTATTGGTTGCCAGTTCACCTCTAATGATAGTTTCTTTTGTTTTGTTTTTTTTTCTTTAGATTTATTTATATAATGAACACATTTATTGATTTATGTATGTTGATCAACCTTGCATGCTAGGGATAAAGCCTACTAGATCATGGTGGATAGGCTTTTTGATATGCTGCTGGATTTGGTTTGGCACTATTTTGTTGAGGGTTTTTACATTGATGTTCATCAAGGATATTGGCCTGAAGTGTTTTTGTTGTTGTTGTGTCTCTGCTAGGTTTTGGTATTAGCAATGAGGGAGAAGAAAAGGAAAAATCAGTTGGATAGACAAGTAAGACTAGCCCTTGGAGACACAGCCTGCCTGAAAAATCACGGCTGCAGGTAAAAATAGAGCAGCATGGAGAAAACTCAGACTGCACTTGCACGGAG